GGGAAGAGTTCAGAAAAGTTTGATTTGAATGCATTTTGTTGTATTTTACTAGCATGCCATTAACCATTCTCTTCTCTCTTATAAAGCAAAAGCAACGTGTGTTGCCTTAAAGCACTTTTTGGGCTGCTTAAAATTTTAATTATGCAAGCTACACGTTGCCTCCTCCTGCAAGCTGGGTACTCAGTTTACTGACCTTGGAAGGATGGAAGGCTGATGCAGCCTTGAGATGGCTACCTGAGACCAGGATTGAAAATATATATATATATATATGGCATTTGATTCACTTGGACTATGCTGGTTGAGACTAGCAGCGAGGATATAAAATCTGACTGTGGTTAAATGTAGGATGATCCCTGTCATCTTCAGTATCTTATATAAACTTCATGGCACAGTGATGAAATCTGCAGTACTGTAGTGAAGACTGTGTTCACAATCTGAGTTTAATACTGACTGTGCTCATGATGTTTGTGTGTGTATGTGCATGTGTCTAAAGAAAGAAAAAATTCAAAACAAATGTGATCTGAAGGCAGTTCAGTAGCAGTTCTATAGAGTTAAAACAAGATTAAAAATGAGATAAATACATGCCAACAGAAACAAAATTGCTGCTGTTGCAACACTGGAGTGTTTTGTGAGCTTTACATTTGCAAGAGATTTAAGTTAAGTTTAATTTAAATATATCTGTATCTATATCCATAGTACATACATGTGTGTGTGTGTGTGTGTGTGTATGCATGCATGCATGCATGTAAACTGATTACTATGATAAGATTCTGGCAATACTAAGCTATTTCAGAAATACAGTGGCAATTTTTTATTTATTGTTCCAATAAAAACAGCAACCCCAAACTCAGAAAGCATCAGGAATGAGAGTACAAAGCAAAGAGAATAAGAAGATGCTCTTTCACCTCTGGCTGTCACAGCCCACCTGTGCCTCACTCACAACCCTCCAACAGCTGTCCCCGTTTTCTACTCCAAATATCTGTTTAACTTCATTTTGGCAGCGGATGGACCAAGAATTTCCATGCACGTTTCAGTGACAGGTGTAGCTGCCATTTTCTAAAGCAAAACACCTGGAAGATGTTTCATTTTCATAAGAGCCCCACTTTTCTTCAAATATTGTTATAGATGATTTTCTGTGTCATAGCATGTTTTTGCAATTTATAGTATGAGGCATCCACAAGTCTTAGCTTAAATTCTTAATCATATAGACAACTGGCTAGAAAGAAACCAATGCTCATTTAAAAGGGAATAAAAAAGAAGGAAGTATCCAACATTATTGACCAGGAAATTATATAGAAAAAAAATCTGCACAGAATGTTATCACTTCTTGGCCACAGTAACAAGCACTTAAGACCCACTGAATGAAGAGGACTTAAGGGTGCCTGTCTCTGTGTTGGATTGTGGCCACTGGGTCCTGTTTTCTCACTTTGGCCTTGTTAATGTACATATCATAATGCTTTTGCAGCACATCCAGAAATATGGACAGATACATTTCCTTCATTTTTATGGACTTTCATTTTGCCCTTGAGTCCTCCTTTTCCATGGGTTATAGCCAGAGCATGAAACCCACACTAGCTCTGCAATCCAAGTATATTTTTTCGAGCCATGCAAGTAAAATCTGCAAATTTTAAATTCACCCTTAGATATAAAATGTATAACATATGATACTGGAATTGTTGAAGGATAATATATTCTAGGAAGCAACAATTGCTTATTTGTTTTTCCTTGGAAAGCATCTTACAGGTCAAAGGCTAGCACTGGTTTATTTTTAAATAAAACGTATTCAAAAACTTTTTACCTTCCATTCACATAAGAAAGAAATTGAAAGATTAGACTAATTAATCTGAATTTTGGTTGTAAATACTACAGATGTAAATCTGTGCAAGGATAAGTATTGCACGTTTTTTTCTCCTTTTCCTAGAGAGCAATATTTGCTGGTACAATCCGCATGTTGGTTTCACATACATTGTGTTACTTGTGCAAAGAATAAAAAAAAAACCTGCAATGCCGTTACTTTGTTTCTTCGTTTATTCTTACAAAAATGGAGTGTCAGATGGGTTCCTCGTTTTAAAAAACCTTTTGTCTTTGCTTGCTGGGTATTTGTGCGCCTTGCTTCTGAAAACGAAGGGACATGAGTTTTGCACAAACTGCTCAAATAGAATTTTGCATGATTTGCAGATACTTTAGCTGGAGGGATGGACGGGGAGGAGAATAAAGCAAAGTGTGCAACCATAGCCGCCCTCTGGGCAGTTTACAAGTTAATTACGCAAGCTACTCATTAGAAGGATGGAAGGCTGAGTCAGCTTTGAACCAGCTACCTGATACTGCTGGGATAGAAGGCATGTCATAAGCAGAGTTTTGACTGCAGTACTGCAGTTTAACCACTACACCTTGAGGCTCCTGAGAATACCTCTTTATTTAACTTTTACACTGGAGTTAAGACCCTGGTTTGTTTGAAAACTCCTCATTTAATTATCTCAACATCAGAACACTCTTACTAAAGAGGACAAAGAATTTAGTATGTGTTATTTCAATCTCTATTATTTACTAGAATATTCACTGGAAGTAAGCCATGGTATGTCAGATTCCAAATGGGGCTAATTCTGTTATACTTTGCACCACCACTGTTCTCAGTATTGTTTTGGCATAGGATTATATGACAGATAAAACAGTAGCATATAACTGACTGCTATTAGATGAAAATCCTAAAATTACTAATACGGAGTACAGTGGACCCTCTACTTATGGAATTAATCCATATTGGAGTGGTGGCTGCAGGTCGAAAAGTCTGTAGGTCAAGGCTCCATTGACCTACAATGGATTGAATACCAATTAATCCGTAACCAGCCATTTTTGTTCCGTTTTTGTTCCATTTTGGGTTTTTTCTGGTCTGTAGGTTGATTCTCCGGCTGCAAGTCAAATCTAAGTTTTGCAGCCAGAGAAGTCTGTAACTCGAAAAGTCTGTAAGTGGAGCAGTCTGTAAGTCGAGGGTCCACTGTAGTTGAAACCAAAGTGCTAGGATATTCGGAATCTTCAAACATTGTAAAGTATTAACATTTGCACAGTATCACAACAGAATTAATTATATGAAATTCTCATTAATAACACTTAAAATCAATTCCAGGTTCAAACATTTAAGAAGCACTTGGGGAAGAAATTTACTAAATAAAACTTACATTTGAAAGAGGAAAATTCTGCATACCAGAATCTAAAGAAAGTGAGAGATGGAGAATCCTCTTAGAAGCCTAGGACTAAAAATGGAAAAGAGCTTGCCTGTAATTGAAAATCCCCTTTTATTTTCTGAACACGTGCCAACTCTTGAGCTGACACCCAATTTATTACTCTGTCAACCTACCTATTAGAGTTGACACAAATCGAGTTGAAATATTCCTGACATGCTACAGACAAGGCATTGCCTCCTCTCCTTTTCACACTCTAATACAAAGCCAAACTTTCTGCAAAGTGGTGGAACAGGAGAGGAAGGTCTGGGAGTTCTGTTCCCTGCCTTCGCTCAGCAAGGCAAATATGATCCTCTTCCATTCTCAATACACAAAAGCAGCCATGATTAACCTAAGGCAAAAAAAAGAACAATTCACACAAATGATACTGTTGGAATGCAATTATTCAACTCTGACAAGCCCTTTATTACAGGAAACAGCACCAATGTTTAAAAAACAATTGCTCTAACCAGACTCGACATCCCAACTCCTTAGAATTTCAGTGTAGTCCTACAGACAGCTCAGATGAGTTGGCAAACTATGGTTTGTTACAAATGGAGAGGTAATTAAGCATGAAAGAGAAGGGGAAGGAAAGAAGGAAGGAAGGGAGTATGCAAGCCTAAGCCTTGTTTGTCTAATGTCAAGTGATGATTTGTCATTACATGCTAACTGGGCTGAATCCAAATAAACTTTCTCTGAAGCTCCACAAATATTTCACAGAGAACTGGCATCAATACCAGTAGGTCATATGACTGCCAAACAGTGAAGAATGATACTGATTTTGGAGGGCATCCTCTGTAGTTCGGAGAAGCTTTCTCATATACCTTATGCTCATTCCTACACGTCATGTTCAATTCTGTGCATATTTCACCAAAAGCAAAATGCATTAACATATGCATAGAACTGTACCTTTGGGTTATCCAAATAATAAGCTGAAAAACACACAAGATAGCAGAAATTCTGTTGTTTAGTGTAATAAAAGATGTAACTTTCAATCTGTTCCTCACTTGTGAAGAAAGGATCTACCCTGCTATTCTTACGGCCAACATCAAACCAGCATGTGTATGCATACACACCCCAAGAATTGCAGCAGGGACTCTTTATTTAAAAGTGAAGGAATGGATTGAAACTTACAAATTTTCTTATGCTGTGCAACAGGATTTCAGCCTATTTTCCAATGTCAATTCCCAAAATGAAAACTGTAACCCTATAAATTCCTTTCATCTTCCAAGTACAAGGTAACATTACATCTCATACTTGATTAAATCAGTACTACATGACTAACATTTTAAACTGCTGCATTATAAAGATTTTTCAGAATTTGAAACCAAATAACACTTGTCAAGGTTACTCCAGGTCAGCGAGGCCCACACTAACCACTCAGCCCCACCACTCTGATTGTATTGGTGTGGATAAAATCCAGGAGGGCCAAACATGGCTGGGAGGTGCAAGTACCCTCCCAACACCTTAGTCCATTCAGACCAAGCAGCTCTTCCAGGGAATTACCAAAAATCCACAAGATTAAATGCTCTGACTTTCCTACTGCAAGATAAGAATGCCAAAAATGCCTACAAGACACATAGGCTCCCAGCAGATGGCCAAGGGTAACCTGGTTTTAGTACCACCAACCACCTCAGTCCCAAAAGAATCAATCAGCTGCAAAATTGTGTATTTTATTAAAGGTGGTGAAAATCAAAAAGAACAAAACCTCAAAACAGCTTCAACAGTGACAGAAAAGTCAAAAGCCTTGTGGAGCAAAATGAGCATTCAAAAGGCTTGAAGGAAGAACAAATCCCACAAGAAAACAAGGAAGCTAGCTAACCCATGCTAATACTTACATCCTGGCATAGCTTTGAAATAATTCTACAGCATCTACAGAGTGCACATCGTTTAACAGAGCATAGTTTTCTCTTAAGAGATAACTAGGCTAAACTAAATAACTTCTGTCTCCAATTTTGGTGAATATATTGAACCCTCATATGATGCCTTTAAGGAGGTTTTAGCTGGATGGACCTTTCTGGACTGGGGTTGCTGTCAGTCAGTCTAGAAACAGTTAGGGACTTGAGTCGCAGGAGTCACTGTCAAGTCAGACTTACGTTGTCCTGTAAATGATTTGTTTTTGTTTTTTTAGTGACTCAGACTTGACTTGCAACTCGCAGCCTACCCACCTCCCCCTCTTTTTTTTTTTATGAGAGAAAAAGGCTTATTTTTAATAGGGGTTCAGACATGGGACTTCGGATCAAAAACCTGGACTCGGACTTGGTACCAAAACATTGCCAACGTCCCTGCTAACATTCAGTGGTTCCCTCTTTACAGATTCTTTTCCCTGCTTTTTTTCCAGTCAGGGTCAGTTAGCGTTGTGTCAGAGTAAGAAATCAATGTGTGGAGTCAGATTCAGATCAAGTTTATTGTATTAGCTAAAAGCCGTCACAATTATTGAATACAAAAATGGTCAGATAAAAACATGATAAAAGCCGTCGCAATTGTTTAATGCGTGGAGTCAGAAGTGAATGCAACCAGCCAGCTAATAAAGAAGTAAATTAAGCAATCAAGCTCAGTAATTCAAAAAGTTAACATTTCTACAAAAATATGTTTATTTTTATATAAGAACTACCAGCCAATGGGAACATTTTATTCTTTCTAATTTACCAGAGGCTGGGTGAATGTACAGAAACAAATAAGTGCCAGTTGAAGTAAACTAACACATAAAGGAGACATAGTAAAGAAGACTGTAGATCAATCTACTCTACAGGTTCCTGCCAGAACTATTTTTATCTGTTAATAATAAACTATGTCTTATTATGCATTCTTAATTAAAGCCACACTCAGTTTTCCTCACACCAAAACAAATCCAACATTTGTATACCCAAAATGCCAGTTTTCAAACCCTTCCAGAAGATCTGCCAATTAGGTGTTGAGTTTCCACAAACGTTCAGGAAGAAGAGAGTAAGTTCTTCCACTGAAACCATTCTACTAATGAACTCTGTAGTAAGGAGTGAGCTCAGTCCAGCCTCAGTTCCCCTTCTCACAGAGATAAGACACCAGTGTTTACAGCCTCCTAGTTAACAGTGGGCACTTTCTCTCTCTTCTCCTGGTCTATCTGTTCTAGGCACAAACTACAAAGACTGTTTTTAGAAGAGCAACAGAAATCATGATCCCCTTTTTCTAATCTTGACAATGGCTATCGTTAAAATTTCCACTTATTTGCTGCATTTAGTGGAGCTTAGAATTTGCTCAGTACATTGTTTATTTGCTTTATATGTTTCACTTCGTACATCTGTCGATCTACCCACCACTCCAGAGCATGTCACACTAAACATCTGAATGCCAGAACAATTAATTTAATACTAGAAGAAATCTATGAATTGTTTAAAGTTCAAAATTAGTTTTAAATAATTTTTACAGCCTTCTAACTCATCATGCACACAAACCTTGCTATGGCTAGCTATCAGCATGTAATCAATGCAAAAACAGAGGATGAAGGCAGAAAGTGTAAGTCCTGCTGACCCTTACTAGTTTGAAATGAATGCTCAAATAAAGAGGCTGTACAATAGCTCCAAGGCAGAATATATCCCTTGTGTACAAAGGCATCTCCTTATAGGACCAAATAAAGAGGCTGTACAATAGCTCCAAGGTATCTCCTGATAGGACTGGCACCCTCCATTGAAACTATTAGCATAATGGTAAATTTGAAGTGCTAGCACTCATTACGACACTCTCATAGCCATCTTATGCCATCGTGATGTTCCAAATGTATAGACCTCTAGACTGATGCATACAAACAACTAAGGAACAGATGTTTTGTAAGTTGAATGTTTTTTAAATACCCATTCAAATGCAAACCACCTTAAAATACTTTGAATTATATCAAAGATAATTTGAAATAAAATATAGTGTTTATTGGAAAACATATTCCTCTCCCAGCTACTGAGAGGGTGGCAAGTAAGGCCTCATCGAACAGGAAGATAGGGGTGGATTATGTCGCAGTCCCTGCTGGTCAGAAGGTCCTGGGGCTTCAACCCTGTGAGCCCCAGTTTCATTACACTACTGCTTGAAACCCAGGAGAGCTGCCAATAGTTACTGCTGACAAACTGAGTACAATGGAGGTATGGAATAAATCCAAGGCAGCTTCACATGTTTCTATTAAATCAATTTCCAGGGATAACATCTACATTTGATATATGTAAGTCCAGTGACTATTTTCAATGGATGCTAATGATTAGAAAAGAATACCCAAGGTCATTTAACACGTTAAACACAGTTCAAGTACTAGGAGAACTGAATATGAAATAAGAAGCTATTGGCACCAGAAATATGTAAAATTACACAGAAAGAAACCCAAAAAGTACTTTCCCATACCTTACTCCTTTGTGTTTTTGGTATTACTTTTGTTTACTACGTATCTTTAGTGTGGTATCTGCTTGATTCTGTTTAGTATCTATTTACTATTTTTAGCTCTCAATGTTGTATTTTAATGATGTAACCCACCTTGGGCCCTTTTGAAGAGGGTGAAGTAAAATAACTTAATTTTTCTAAATGACCATTTGGTATGCAATAGAAAGCTTCTGTGACATGACTAATAAAACTATGTTAAGGGAACACCCTGCATATGGAAGAATACAGGCAAGAGAACTAGAAATACTTCTTAATTTTAGCTGCAACCACCCCCTCTTTAAAAAAAGAGAGTATAGGATCAGATGAAGCAAAAGGGAAAAATATATTGTTACAACTATAAAAATTATTTCCCAAACAAGTATGAGAATTTCATGTGCATGCTCTGTTAACAAACAAATGTATAAATATAAGAAATAATGCACATACTTGGTTACATCTGGCATATAGCTGCTTCTAGGAGAATATGGCTTTTTGTGTTGTTTTTTAAAGCAAGTGTTTGAAGCAAGCATTTCAAGATTTTTGGCAAGCACTGTTTATAATATATTTTTAAAGGGAAAAACTTTCAGAAATAATGACAAGTAGGAATTTCATATGGCTGACAACCCTGTACATAAAGAAGCTGACTCTCCTTAGTCAAACGTAGCTGCAGAATGTGCATCGCTGGCTCCTCCTAGAGTTGAGGGTGGCAAAATCCTCAAAAGATAAGAAGTGGTTAGAAATGTCTGGTTGAGGGATTACAAAGTTACAGTCCAAAAATTTCAGTTTTCTAAACTCTGGCCCACACAAAATCACACTCAGATGGCAACTTTATTTATTATGATAGTGAGACTAGAAGGCTATATAAGATGTGGGTGACTCCAACTTGAACTTTCCACTCCGTTCAAGCTTCAGCAATGTTGGCACAGATGGTCGAGGGCAGCTCAGTATGTAACTATGAACTTTTGTTGCTCACAGAACGTCTGAAATAACACTGAGGTGATGCACCACCATACCATCCTTAAACACACTGATTTGACCTGATTTTGGAATCTAAGCAAGATTCCTCTAAATCCAGAGGGTGTATGCTAGTAAGAGCTGTCAGCGTTACTGGACCACATAGACCACTGGTCTGGCTTCGCATGTTGGCTTCCTACATTTTTTTAAAGCTGTACAATATGATATTAAATATAAAGGAAAAATGAGTTAACATTGAGCTGAAAAAAGAAATAAAACTAATCATTGAGAGGTATTAAATTGGGTTCAATTTTAGGTTTTCTTTGCATCCTCAACAATACATTTTTTGTTGTTTTTCTACACAGAAAGAACTATTTGAAAACTCAGTGGTTTAGGTCTCTAGCTACAGAGGCAGAGGTTAGGAATTAGATTCCCCAACGTGCCTCCCTGACAAGGGGTAGACTCAATGATCCATTGCATCCCTTCCAGCTCTGCAGTTCTAAAATGCTGTTGATGATGATATATTTCCAGAATTTCTAATGTTGTCCTTGTAATCCATATGTTATGTTCTGAGGAACTCCTAAAATGTATAAAAGGGTACCTTGTTTTACCTCATCTCTGGACAAAGATCCTGATGTCATTTTTCTCTTCTAAATTCATTTCTCTAAAGGGACAGTTTCTCATAATCTCTGTATCCATGTTTATCCACTGCAGTCTTTTTCAATGTTTCCAATCTTGTGCTGTATCCATTCTAACTATTGCTAGCTTTAATGAGATTAAACCTTTATGTAACAGATTTTTATCTGTATCAGTAAATAAAGAGAGAGATACAAAGTCAGCAACATACTTGGCCTATCACACATTATATCAAAAGTAGTATATCTTTTCTGATTTTTTTTTTAAAAACTTGGAGCATTCTAGTCATATGTGCTAAAGGGAACCTCTGTACTTGTATTGTTGTGTTTTTACTGGACGTAGCTGCCATCAATGTCATATGGAGCATTGTTTCTGTGATTGTAAGAGACACTGATTTAAATGGAGGGGATGATCATAACTTGTTCCACTGTGCCACAAAGTAAATCTTTCCAAGATTTGGTTCTTTCTAAGATTTTGCCCTGCTCAAGTTTTGTATCAAAGGTAGCTTACTATATTCCTACGTTCCCATGAAGCTAAAGTCAAATGAATGATGTGAGAAAAAAAGACGTGCATATACAGTAACTGTCTTGCTTTTTCTCTTATTTTATTGTTACGATCTAATGACAAGTTGTAGTTCAAGCCCGTCATCATCCCCACAACATTCAAGGTTCATCCAGTTTTCACATGGAAGACTTTAATAACTGAACAAACATTCAGGGTTTTACAACTGAACACTGAATCCAGAAAACTAAAAAAGGGGCATAGACCTGGACTGATCTATGGACATCTCACATTCATACCTAAACAAATACTTTCCCAGCTGCATACCTTACTTGAGGAAACAAGGAATAATATATATGTAGCACATGTTGCATTATGGAATAAAAAGTATAAGAGCAGACTGCCCTTAATATAAATAAAAAGATCATTTTCCACAGTCTCATTGGTTTGAAGAAGGATGCTTTGTTCATCAACTGAGAAGCAAACTGCACAATCTTCAATGGGACATAGACCTAGGTATGCAAGTATATGAGACTGCAACCTAAATAACATTTCCTATTTCTGATGTTTTAAAAGGAATTGCTAAAAATTTACATTTCCTTTAATTTTTGATGTCTCTCTTACATATTCATGAGGATTTTACATTGCTGTTTCTTTTAATTCATAATGGAATAACAAAGTCATAACGAGGGCAAGGCAACTGGACCTTGATCTCGAATGCTGAGTTTAAAAGGACCAAATGTGCTGCCAGAAAGGCATTGATCTGCTTGCTGCTTTTTGCTAGTGGAAGAGCAAACCCTCCCACCCTAAACATTTGTACCATTTCCAGGCACTTGCTGCTTTTTGCTAGTGGAAGAGCAAACCCACCCTAAACATTTGTACCACTTCCAGGCACTCCTCCCTGGGTAGAAGGAAACAAAAAACAGACGGCCTTACTCTTTAATCAACATAGCCATCATATTCAGACCCTGGTGTTACTCTCTGTTCCTCTGACCTCTCCCTGTTTATGCCTACCTTACATTAATCACGATTTGCTAATAGGGCATTAAAGACCTGGGTGCCAAAATTACTAATTCAAGCCCTGCAATTTAATGTTAGCAATACAATCCTTTGGCTGAATTCCAGTAGGCCCCCTGAATGAATGGAATTTATGGAGGAGTTGATGCACCAAAACCCCAATGATTCAATGGTCACTTACTACTGAATTTCACCACTGAGTTTTTGTTTTGATGTAAGACTTACTCCCCAAAATGACCTGATGCCCCACTTTATTATTGGCCATTCTGACCAAGGTTGAGGGAAGTAGTCCAAAATAACTGGGGAAGCATCAGGATGGAGGTATGTTTAAGGCAGCAGCAACAGTGTAACTATGCTTTATCTGTCAACATCTTCAATTGTTTCACTACTTGTGCCCCATGCTTAAAGTCTGAAATCAGTGGCTTCAGTTCTTCCACTGTATGTTAAAAAAAAACACCTTGCTGATCATATGTCTGAAAAAAGTGCTCTAAGGACAGAACTGATCTACTGCAACTGCTCACCATTTTAACACTAATCACAAGCTTTCCAAGGAAGTGGTAAACTTCTGCTGCTAGCTGAGAAAATGAAAATTAGTCCCTAGGAGAGGATACCATCAATAGTGCGTTAATCTAACCCTCAGCTGTTAATGATTTACACTGCAATTTCCCTTGATACAGTGAGCTGTGCTGAAATGTTATCTTAACCATTTCTGTTGGGTTTCTTTAGTATGCATTTGCTGAAACGGGGCTGACTGACATTCTAATGGAAATAACTATTTGGGTTTTTTTGGAAGTAAAAAATGTATTCCCTTCTTACCTTGTTCAGTCATTTCTGCTGCTCTTAACCACTTTAAACATAAAACAATGCTTGATCAATTTGTATAATTTATATAAGTTTGTTAAATTATTGTTGGTGTCTACCCTCCAGAGAAATGCCGCAAGCTAGACTTAAATTCTGTTCAGAAATCAAGCACAAACCCTTTGCATAATAAACTATGTTTTGTGCTAAAGAAAGGTTAACTCATTTGAATCCAAATATCCATGTGGAGGAGCACACACATGGAGTCAACACTTAGGCGCTTAGTACCTACTTACTGACATGAACATTGACTGCATGACTGTAAAGTGTTCACATCTTCGTATCTCAAAAGCCTTTTTCCTTTCTTTCTTTCTTGTTTGCTAGATACACACATACCAAAACAAGGAATTCAATTGTGCTTACTTCTAAGTATACTTCCTTAGGATTGAATGATATTTCAGTATTCCTCAGGGGTTTGTGGTTTTTGTTTCTGACAAGCTCCACCAAATTCAGTGTATGACTTTGGTTCCCAGTAACATTTTTCCCATTTATTTATCTCTATACTTCATAAAAATTGGTGATAAAACAAGAACAATAAAATCGGGAAGTCGCACATTGAATAAAACCAACGGAACATTTATCAAAGAGATTGGTTCCCAGCAAAAACAAATCACTTGTAAATGCCCAGGTAGACAGGAAGGACTTAGCCTAGTCTCAAAATGTAATAAAGCTGGCATCTGGCTTAACTTTAGAGGAAAGACGATTTGAAATCAGGAAGTTACCCCATTATTTTGGTCACTTTCTGATGTACTTTTCTGATATGCAAAAAAGCCTCTTCCAAATCTAAGAAAAGGGGATGTTTATGATGGAGATGAAATTCTTATATTGTTTAATAGATTTCAGAGTAACAGCCCCCCACTCACTGAAGTGATGTATTTGTCACCCAGCAAGGGGCTATAGGTGAGGGTGGTGTGGCAGCTGCCATTTTAGAGGCTGCCAGCTGTCTCCTTCCCAAAAAGAAAAGTGATTTCACAGAAGATCTCGCAGCAGTAGTAGCACCGGAACGATCAGGTGGGCCGTGGTTGGGGATTTCCCTCCCCAAAGCAATACAGATTGGTAGGTTTCAAATCTGGCCTACCAATCTGAGATATAAAAAGGGGAACACCAGCTGGAAGAGCCATTCAGCCTCAAGCCTTTTCCATCCCTTGGTTAGCAGAAAAAGGGTTGGATGTGCTCTAGCACAGCTTTGCTGGACATGGCTGGAAACATGAAATCAAGTCAGGGGCACGCAGGCTCTTTACTCTCTCTAGTGGATTCCCTTTAAGGGTGTGGGGTGTAGAGACATTGTGGGGGGTTGGCTTGGGACACCATGAACTCTCCACTCTAGGGGTACCAGAAGGGGCTACAGAGCAGCAGACACCCACATGGTTAAAACCACTTTTCTAGTTACTTTGGTTATAACATCAGTAGGCAGTGTATTAGCTCTTTTGAAAGAACTAAACAATTAGGTTCTTTTGAAGTTTGGTTCTATAAACAGCAGCAATGATTAAAGGAAACAACTAGAGAATGACAGACTTTATCTTTGAGCCTTGTTCTAAACAGGTGGGTCTGCTTAGTTGGGAAGTAAAACAACATATAACAACATGATCATAATTGACAATGGCTTAAGACACCTGGTTCAGAAAAATTACAAAAATCCAGAGGGAAACAACATGCTGGATAGCCATCTCAATGGATTAAATATTAGCCAAGATTTCTTAAGCGATTATCATATGTGATAATTATGTTATCTATGGATATGTTCCTTCCCAACTAGCCAGACCAACCTTTTCAGAACAAGGTTCAAAGTCTGCTATTCTCTAGAACAAGGTTCAAAGGTAAAGTCTGTCATTATGTAATTGTTTCTTTTAATCATTGTTGCTATTTATAGAACCAAGTTGTTTCTTTTAATCATTGTTGCTGTTTACGGAACCAAGCTCTGAACTTCTGGATAGCTCAGTGGTTTAGTAATCTGGCTGGGGAGTTCAATTCCCCATCTGGCTGGGGAACCAGAAGTTGGGAGTTGAATTCCTGTGGCTCCTTGATAGGGGCTGGGTTCAATGATCCATAGGGTCCCTTCCAGCTCTGCAGTTCTAAGGTTAAAGAACTCAATACCAAAAACGGGTCTCAAATCATTACTAGCTATGAAATGCAACCAAACATCAAAACCCCTTTATCTTAAAGCCTTGCATGAATGTTTTTCAGTCTAGTCTATGTATTCTGACTATTGCATATGATGAAGTGGACCTGGTCCATGAAAGTTTATGTTAAATATAGCAGTTAGTCTTTAAGATGCCACAGCACTTTGTTTTGTGTTAAAGACTCTCTCATAACAATTAGTCATTTGTTGGAAGCCTGCCAAACAGAAGAATCTTTGTTGCCAGTGGAAGGAGGGACTAGTTGGGCCTCCCTTGGGAGAGAGCTCCAACCAAATTTTCCTAAAGCTGCAATTATATTGTTTACACACGTCTCAAGGCTTTTCCAGAGGCAACATTTGTTCCATGTTAAGGACCAGGTTGCACACTAATCCTATCAGAATTTTCCTTATGTATTCTTATTTTGTTTTGTATTTGCCTCAAGTTCCCATAACTTTTTCTCCCTCCTCAAAAGCTTGCTTATATTTTGTGCTCCTTTGGGGGATGGACACTTTAGTGCTATGGTGCCTTCCAGGTACTTCAGCACTAACACACCAGATGAAGTAAGAGCCACTTTCTTCTGATAAAGCACACTTTAGAAAGACAGTGAGATGTGGTGGACAGAATGTTAAATTAGGGCTCAAGAAACCTCACTTCAAACCACTGGTCAGTCAAAGAAATTCACTGAGGTGCAGCAATGTTAAACTTGAACACAGTATCCTGAAAACACTATTAAGGTTGCCATAAGTAAGAAGGAAATTGATGGTACTGTACATAACAAGAACAAACCCAGTTTGGATTCCACCACAAGCTTTCCCATCCAATTCAAACAAGACTTCTGGAAAGTTGTTTTACAACCATTAGACTCAGGAAATTATATCTGGAAGAATGCAACACGTGCCTGAACTCTCTCCTATATATATTTGCTCTGAAGTATGACTCTCCTTACTCAAATCTGCATAGATTAACAATCCAGGTTCTCAATAAACTCTAGGGTGGATGGTGTTGAATGTCACAAACCCAAGAACAGTGCTCCTAATTTCACCACTTGCATTCTTACAGGGCTGGAGACAAAAAAAGAAAATTACATCAAGTCTCTAGTTCTGATAAATCCTGTGAGGAAAAATAAGCAAAACAAAGTCCTGTCTGGAAGACCCTGCACAGCTTTTTCAAATTTTCTCCTTAGTTAATGTTTATAAAAGCTCTAAACACAACACTTGTAATCGGGGAGCTCTCTCCTGTCTAAATCTGAATCATCCAAATCATGCAACTGACCAGACTTACTCTGGGAGTCGAGACAGGACACCTGCAGAAAGGCACGCTATGCTATCATTGACCCGAGCTGATGAATGTCCCTTCTGGGCCCACTTAATAACAAACTCCAGAAGAATCAAGGTAATGAACAAAGGAGTTGCCTGAAATGAGAGGGGGAAAAGCAACAAGATGAAGAGTCAATGATATAATAAACATTCTGCCATAATTTTCTGTTAACAAATTGAGTCTGAATACACATATTCTCACTTTACTTCTCCTATAATATGTCACACTTATATCTCAATTAATAAGTTATGCTTGCATAAGCACTGCACCATTTTACAAGTAATGCTGACAATGCAATTCTGTGCACATTTATTCAGGATTAAGTCCCATTCACCTCATTCTGGGGCCAAAGCAAACATTCTCGAAATATGGAAGATGTAGCTACATATCTCATTTCAAAAACAGTTAAAGGCACCAGGTGGGAAATATTCTAATCATAAACAATGGCTGAAATCCCATTGCACTGCTACACAAAAGGTGTAACTTTTGGAAGCTAATTGCCTCAAGTCTCTATAGTCATTATCTGTTTCATACTCACTTGTGCAACTCAGCATACAGAATCTACAGATTTTTTGACCTGAGGCAATTAGCCTTCAAAAGTTATGCCTTTTGCTGGCTGGATAACTCAGGAATCTGGCTGCAGAACCAGAGGCTGGGAGTTCAGTTCCCCACTATGCATCCCAGAAGAGCTCGCTGTGTGGCCTTGGACAAGTTGCACAGTCCCAGAAAGCCCCCAGAAGAAGGGAGTAGGAAACCACTTAAGTGTTTTTTACTTGGAAAACCCTGAAAAGGTCGCTGTAAGTCAGAACTGACTTCATGGCAGAAGACTATTATTAATATAAAAGGATATCAACCAATAGGTGTGCTGAGGGGAGGTTTGTATCTTTACTCCATATTGTAACCAAAATCTAAAACTCCCTCTTTTCAATTTTAGGCAGTTTGAGACTCCATCACATTAGGTAGCATATCCCTCCCCTGCCCTCACGATGTCTGAAAGATATTTCCCCGCCCCACACTTATAGACAACTTAATCTAAATACAGATATATAGCTCAGTGGTTTAGGTAATTACTTGCGGAGCCAGAGGTTTTGAGTTTGTTTCCCCGCTGTGCTTTCCCCCTCTTTTCAATTTTAGGCAGTTTGAGACTCCATCACATTAGGTAGCATATCCCTCCCCTGCCCTCACGATGTCTGAAAGATATTTCCCCGCCCCACACTTATAGACAACTTAATCTAAATACAGATATATAGCTCAGTGGTTTAGGTAATTACTTGCGGAGCCAGAGGTTTGGAGTTTGTTTCCCCACTGTGCTTTCCTGACAGGATGACTCAATGATCTAAAAGGTCCCTTCGAGCTCTGCAGTTCTAAGATGATAATATGTATTTTTTTAGTATGTCTGCTTCTTGGAAGGGATGACTTACAGAGCTAGTTCACTAAGTGACTGGATGAAACTTCATTTACAATGAAAAAAATGCATGTGTTTGCATTGGACAGGGGAGAAACAGAGGCTATCCTTTACCTTTTATTAAGCTGCCCTTCCTTCCATTTATACTGATATCCTTGGGGTTGCTAATATGACTTCCATCTTTCTCACATTCTTTCTTTTTGCTCCTACCTGATACAGGAGACATCTTGCCTTTGCCATCTCAATGTTCTTCTCTAATAAACCCTACCTTTTTTCTTACAGTAAGAGGTTTAGATATGCTTTCATTTCCAATGAGCAGCAGCAAAGTCTTTTAGCTACCTATTCAGAAGTAAACACCACTGGTATCAACATAACTTGCTCTGAACTTGGTGTATGAGATCTCAGCCAAAATGTGTATCTTACAATGAACCTGAAGGGCATAGATCTTTCTTCTTCTTCATAGGTTTGTCTCTCCATTCCCCCAACATTTTCCTCTTTAATTGTACTAACACAGATAGACTAACATGGCTACTTCTTGGAAATTACCTCACAGTGTGGTTGTGGGAATAAAAATGTGGGAAGGGAAACCCCAGTATTTTGCACCAACCCTCTTAGAAGAAGAGTGGCTGAACCTGTAGGGGATGTTTATGCCCTTCCAATAAAAGGAAGACTCTGGAGGCGGTGGCGAGGCTGCTTTAGGACAGTTTTTTTCGCTTTCACAAGCCAAAGATTCGGAACTGGAGGAACATGTGAACTAGCACTCACGCCTTAGTGCAGGGGTTCCCAACCTTGAGTAGCCAGCTATTCTTGGACTACAACTCCCAGAAACCCCACGCAGCACAGCTGGGGTGAAGGCTTCTGGAAACGGCAGTCCAAGAACGCTCCGAGAGGCTTCTGGGAACGGCAGTCCAAGAACGCTACGAATTACCGCAGGTTGGGAATCACGGTCTCAGTGCATGTCTGAAGAGGCTTCCCTCTCATCAACAAGTGAATAGCCGTGGGTTTGCTCCCAGTCGGAGGGCAGGAGGCAATAATACCTGAAGCGCCTCAAAGCCGAGGCGCCTCATCCGACACACACACCTCCACGGGCCCTGCAGGGAAGGTGGGCGAGGCGGCCGCGGGATCTCACCTGGTCCACATAATCGGGCGCCTCCTCGACGCTGCGGAAGGAGCTCTCGTTGGGCGTGAGGGCGTAAAACATAACGCGGAGAGGCTGGGAAAGGGAGAGGGCTCGCTGAGGGGAAAAAGCTGCCGCCGCCATGGCTAGCTCGCCTGCTTTTTTGTGTTGTTTGCGCAGCTGCTCCGGGGGAGAGAGACCGAGCCCTGCGCGGGCGAAAATGGAGAGGGGCCCGAGATGAAGTCTCGCCCTCAGATGGAAGCAAGCTGGACCTGGCGAGGCAGCAGAGGCCAAGCGCCCTCCGGGGCAAAGTAAAGACGCGCTTGGTTTCCGGCGCCTGGGAGGAGCTGCAGCCCGCCTTTCCCCGCCTCGGTCTTCCTGCGGGAGGAGGTGGAAGGGACGCGGTTCTCCCCGGGTGCGACGCTCGCTTCCCGGTTATATAAAGTCAATAAGGCGTCCCTGGGGAAGGGATCGATGCCTTAGGAGCTGGGCCCTTGCGGGGATTTAAGCGAAAGATGACGGGTGGGTGGGATGTTAATGAGTTGCCTAGCGTTGTGTCATAGGGGTATGTGCACAAGCCACCACTCAAACCTATTACGTCGTTTTGGTTTTATTTGCTTGCATTTAAGAGGACGGAGCTGGTTGTTGGCGGGCGGGCAGGGCAGTGTTTTCAAATTATGTGGACGGAAAAGTGGAAAAACGCCTTAATGGACCTCGTCTTCCTTTTTCTTGTTCCCTCTGTTACCGAGCTGGGCCATCTTCTTCAGGGTGCAGAGCTGCCTGAGGCGAAGGTAAAAGAGGGAGGCTTCGTCACTCCATTGCCAGAAACCAACGTGGGTATGTTTTGCAAGCAACATCTTTCAAGTCCACCTCAATGTTTTCATCCCCTTCACAGTATTTCCAGACAGGGTGGGTAGATAGATAAGCAACACCTTGGCTGAAGATTGGGTTCTATAATTACTTTATAATAATAATAATAATAATTATCTCCCTGCTGGAAGGGACCCTGTGGGTCATGGGAGTCCAGCTCCTGTCAAGGAGGCCCAGTGGAGAATTGAACTCCCAGATGCTTAAACCACTGAGCTATCCAACATAGGCTAGAGCAGCAGCAGCACTGTATGGTTGCCCCTGAGTTCTGATTTCAAGGAACCATTCTATATTTTTTTTAAAAAAACCCAAATGATGTGGCAAAATACAGTTTTAGAGAAGTACAGTTGGGGAACAAAATTTGATTAAAATAACTTTCCAGAACAAGTCATCAAAAAAGAAAAGTACCCAAACCAATAGGATGGATTGAATCAGCCCATTGAAGTGCCATAGCAAAGAGAAAGGTTTGAGTTGCTGCCAAAATAATGGGCAACGTCAATGCCAGTCACACTTCCATGGGCAGCGTATTTCATGGCACAACTGAGAAGTCAAGCTTCATTTATGATGTACCTGAAATACTTGGGTGTGCAGCTTCGCCTTCCAATATTAAATTGATATGTTACAGGGATGGCATGTTTTAAGCAAGTACTGTTAACAGCCTAACCCACACACACACAGGCATCCTTTAGTCTCAAGAGACTATGGTAACATGCTCTGTATGGAGGACCTGGAACAGCGTCTAGCGTTTCAACGTTGTACGTGAAGCTGGAGTCTCCTCTCCAGAGCACGAAGCCTGGGTAGAATAATACGGAGGATAGGCTGTTACCCAAGCAGCAAATCCCCCCTCTCCGTGTCACTGAAATAGTTCACTGGAAAGGCAAGAGCCAATACAACTGGTTCCAGCGACGGCGCAGGAGTTGACAGAACGACATGAACTGCCCCCGGGACTCCGGCTCCAGATTTTGCCTCGAGGTTTACTCCTGAAGCCTTTTCCATCAGTGGATATGGCCACAAGGCAGTGGAGGTTTGAAATAGGAGTTTTCCTTCTCCTAGATGGGCTGCCTTGCAAGGCTGATGAGTCCCACCTACCCGGCCTGTTCCCTCACGGCATGGAGGATGATGGTGTCGCGGAAGGGAAATGGGGTGGAGAGGAGCCAAGAGATATCTCATGTGTTAAAGCCTCCTCCATGAATTCCTTGTGCAACGCCCTTTGGCCGGGATCCAGCACAGCCCACTCCGAGAAATTCACAGCCTAACATACCGTTTGCCCATGAATTCCTTGTGCAACGCCCTTTGGCTGGGATCCAGCAGGGCCCACTCCTCCTCCGAGAAATTCGCAGCCTAACATACTGTTTGTATCTCATGTGCTTATACTTTTGCACTTCCTCATTTTAATGCTCTTGGGCTGATCATTTCATTTGCACTTGTCCACCTATACTCTTTCACTCTGTGCATTACAACTGTAGAGACTGAGTGCAGGAGCTACAAGCCAGAATCTATCCTGTAAATTATGGCAGCAAATTGTTGTTCATTAATGATCTGTTAATTGTGTTCCTGGATGCAAAACTAATCATGTGATCAACAGTACTTGCAGGAACGCAATTAGCACTTTATTAATGAGTGGCAATCTTCTACCACAGGTTATAGTTTTTCTTATGCAAGCATAAATCACCAATAGGATTCTGGCTACACTCATTTTCATTGTGCTGCCACACAAATACTTGAGTCACTATGCTAATGTAAAGCGTATTTTGGTTTCACAGTCATAGTTCATTATTCTGGAAGTAGTAACTACATAGAGGAATTTAATGCATTCTGAATGTAGAATGCTACACAGAACACAGAAATAAATGTTCACAACCTGTAAAGAAACTTCATTTCAAGTTTGCAGTAAAGGTGTCATAGACTACAAAAGACAGATACAGTATTAATAATTGCAACTTTTCACTTTCATTGTATGTCATTTTCATATACTTAACAGCAAAGTTCCATATCAAATGAAAGCAATTTAAATTTAAACAATTGCAAAATATAACTTCAAATATCTAACAGGGCAAATGTTGTAAAACATTCAATGAAAATTGAGACAGAAAAAAGCTTTACCAAGTAGGGCATTTTACCACTCTGTCTTAATGTGGGAAGTACTGCATCACATCAGTTTATATAATGTACCATTGTATTGTAAGTTCTGAGAGTTCCATAACAGATATGATTTCTCACAAGCACATCTTTTGAAAATTAGGTGGGTACAGTAACTCAGTGCAAACTGCTTTGGAAATGAAGGCACCAGTTGTTTCAGTTAGAAGGAACATTTGCACCACTGAATGATAGGCAGAGGAACCCCAACATTTTGCTCTTTGCAGTGTGATATGGCATTGGTTTTCTTTAAGTCTTCTCTCTACTCTGGAATTAGCTCCATTTGTGGCTCCAAACAATCAGAGGTTGAAAGAATAAATGCAGTATAGACATTGAGCTAAAGGTGAGCTGAAATTGGGGCCAAATGTTGGCACGAAGCCCCAGAAAGAGAATCTTTATATATTTATTAAGGCATGTAAGTCTGTGAGTATGTGTAAAATGCCCATTCCACAATCACTACTGTAAGTCAGCAGTTTAGGTCTGTGGCTGCAGAGGTTGGGAGTTCTATTAATTCCCCGTTGTGCCTCCTTAACAAAGGCTGGACTCAATTTATAGTGTCCCTTCCAGCTCTGCAGTTCTAAGATGGTTATGATGATTGTATTTTTAAGTTCCCGAGAAGTGGGGCAAAACAATTATTGCATGACCACAGTGTCCCTTACATTGTGTTTTTCCTTTATAGAACAATTAAAGCTCCACAGGTCTAAAAGAGAGGGATTCTACTGTTGACTAATAGATCTCTTCAGTATCCAAGGAAACTGTAGTCTGAAAGGAAATTGAGGAACTGGTCCAATGTGATCTGCAGGCAGTTCGTATTTTTGTTTTCTCTAAAGAACTCTATCCCACCCACTCTATGAGTAGAAAACACCCAGACACTTCCTGTTTGGGTCTCTTCAGAGCTCTGCAGCAGCAGCATTAAATAATAAACCCATAAAGGGACATAGGATAGGTTCAGAATGGGTTGGGCAATACCGTTTGCCTTGGCAGCAATTCACCACAATGTGAAATTGTATCCAGACGTAAGCTGGGGATCATTTGTTTGACTTATTTGAAGTTATACATAAATATGGAAAATAGCTTAAAATAATAAATAATAACTAGGTATTTTAAAGAGAAAAATAGTTCTAATGCATTGTCATTTCAGCGATACATTAAAGCAGTATTAAATGTGACAATCCTGATGTTGTGTTTTTTTTAAAGAATCTGTTCTGAGCTTGGAATGTTGTTTCTTCAAAGCCAACAGTTTTCTTTAACAAAATTATAAAGTGAATACACTAAGCTGTTATTTTTGTGCAAACAACAGGTTCTTATATATGAAACAGGGTATCGATGTAGTGATCTTAATGTACAGTATTTGCTTTTAAACACAATTTTTTTAAAAAGGAAATTTTCCGAACCCCCCAAATTAGCGTCCTAATTACAATTTAGGCAAAATAAGAAAACACTACTACTTGCCCAAAAATTTAGTTAGGTTAATTGGGTAGTGGTGGAGGAATTAAATTCCTATTGTCTCTTCATCCCTAAATGCAATGTGCTGCAGGTAATGCTGCTTTTGATACCTTACTCTCAACATCTGCATATATTCCTAATAACTGTTTTCCCCCCTTCTGCATGCCAATCAGAACACAGCTGACTTTGGTTTATTTTATATTGGAACCATAATGTTGACATATGTGATCGCAAAAGAGGTCCAAGCTCATTATTAGCTAATCATAATTGTGTCATGTGTTTTTAGTATTTAGCAGACAGTCTAAACCTGTATCTAATTCCATCCCTTTAATTTGCACATGATTAACAGCTATGACCACCATGGCTTGTGCAAGTTGCAGTTTGCTAATGTCCTATATTTAGCCCCAATATTTCTGATGTATCTGTTGTAAACAATAACTGAAATGTGACCATGTTCAAAGGCTGCATCATGCACATGAATATACTGGAAGAAGCTATGTGATAGTGTACACTTGGCAGTTTAAAATCTAAACAATATAATATATTTCTCCTTTTGATATGTGATAGTCACACATGAAGTCTGCATTTATTTTTCCTTTGGTCTTGTATTTATGATTGAAAAGATCTGTACAGTATCCTGCTTTCCCTCTATCTAATCTTCAAGGCAACCACAGTATTCCACAACAATATCTAAATATAATAATATTTAAAACATGAAACTACAACAGCTCAGTCCCAGATTTTTAGCCTGACTTAAGTACAATTAATTTTAATTTAGATCCAATCCAAACAAAATTATAACAAGAAACAAGGAAGTACAACTGCAGAGCTGATAGGAAAACTATGAAATGCCTGCTCACATAAAATAATTTAAGTTTGATGCCTAGAAGATAGCCAGAGTAGCCCTGATGGGCAGTATAGAAACCAAATAAATAAATAAATAAAATTATTCCTTTGGTCTTGTATTACTGATTAAAAAAGATTTGTGTTCTGACTTTCCCCTATCTGATCTTCAAGGCGACCTGAACCATATAATTGCCTTTGGCAAAGGTGAAACTCTTCCATGAGTACAATATAGTTTATTCCCTTGTTTCTAAATATACTTAGATATACTTAGAATATGATATCTGAATGAGATCCTAATTTGCATAGTGGGAAAATTAGATCAGATTTGCATATTGTTTTCTTGACTTTGATATATGCCAATTTGTAGGGCTGCCAGTCCCATGTTTCCAGGTAGGTGCCTATCAAAAGCTAGACACACAGAAATCAAGCCAATATGATTTATTCTATATTCTTGCATCCATTTGGTAGGAAAAGCTTCATGAGTTACATTTCGGTGTATCAGGCTACCGTTTGCAAAGAGG